GAGAGAGAGAGGTGGGTAGAGATGTGTGTAAAAGAAAACCAAAATAAATAAAGTCCAGCCATTTCCCTGGAAGTCATAGAAAAACTCAAAAACACACATTCACTCAGTTTGTTCACGCCAGGTTGACAATCTTGACATCAAGGAGACCCTAACACTTTCTCAGGACAGGAGATGAGGAGAGGAAAGCCCTGCTCCTGCGCTTTCATGTGGTATGTGTGGCATTTCTGTGCGACCCTGCATTCGCGAGTAATCCATCCAAAAGTAGTGTGTGTGCAAAGCTGTATGAAAGCTTTGTTATACATTATTTTAGTGTAACTTTATCTTTTTTTTTCGCTGTGAAAGCCACGATTCCGCTGTTTCATGTGATATGCGTGGCTTCTCGCTATGATGAACTGTCGCGGAGAAAATCCACAGAGAAGAACAATCAATCTCCTTACTTTTATTCACTGTTTCCTCCAGTCACGCACGGGTCAGAGTCGGAGGCTGAGAGGCTGAGCTGCACAAGTCTGCTCTCACCTGCGCGCGCAGTTGCATGCAAAGGATTATGTGGAATGTAGTCACACAGTCATATTACCGGCTCTGTAGGAGAACGCAGCTATACAACTACCGTGGCGTTCCCACGACGGTATCGAGAATTTATTTTATCGCGACACCGTGAAATTCGACATATCGTTACATGCCTACCATCTAATAATAGTTGAGATATTTCAGTCTCGACCAAAGCAGTATATCGTCTGATATTGCCGTCCTCATAAAGCCGCACCAACAGCAGCACTAAGACGTCAGATAAGACTTGATGCAACATTATTGTAAAAACAAGGATCACGACCAAATACCAGAGAACTACCTGACGTCCCCATGAGCCTCACCTGCACCTTGTGTTCACTGCTGCTATGCTAATGTTAGCATGCTAAGTAAGTGGTGAAAACTGTAAACATTATACCTGTTAAACATCAGTATTTTAGCGTTGTCACTGTAAAGATGTTAGCATGCAGATTGTAGTGCTGTGTTAAACTGCAGCCCCACAGAGGTGCTCACCGAGGCCCTTTAAGTGGTACGTACGATCATGGATGTATAAAGAGACCTGGATACAGCGTTGGAGGCGTTTAACTGCAGTGTATAAAATGACCCAGTTGATTAGCACTACTTCTGCACCTTGCGGCCCAGAGAGCAGGCGCCCTTAGAAATGTACAGATTCCTAAAAGCCAGAGTCCTGCACTGGGTCGGGTACCTGATGGGTGACCTGCAAAAAGCTGTGTAACAAGTAAAAATGAACTCCAAGTGTGCGGGCTGCAGGTGAGAACAAAAGTCCTACAATGTAGGTTTTTTGCTGATTTTACTGGAGTTTTAAATTCATTTAAACTCTTTTATTTCTCCAGTTTTTATAAACCACTGTGTTTCTATCAGTTCTTTAAAAGCTGCTGTTTTCACGTCCGGTCTGTTTTAATTGTTGACATGTAAATCACTCTGTTTTGAAAAGTGCTTTATAATTAAAGATCATTATTATTATTATTATATGATAAAAATCAACCAGCTGAACTGGACATCTTCACCCTGCAGATCCAGAGTTTCACCTTGTGCTTTAAAACTCACACGCAGCTAAATGAAATGAAGTGGAGCTGAACATCACCTGATGTTTTCACACGACACTAAAGTTGAAATAAATCAGCTGACGCCATCAGATCCAAAATCAGCACCTGATCCTTCAGTGGGAGTCGACCAGCTGGAGTTCAGCAGGAAGAGGAGTTTCCCAAACGATGGTTTCTGGTTTCTGTCCAGAGTTCACACTGAGCTGCTGCTGCCCTCTCTGCTTCTTATAAACTTTCTCCAAACATCCTGCTGACGACACAAACAGCTCTGTGAAGCAGCTCACTCTGCCAACAGTCAATTATCGATGAAGCTGAAATCAAAGTGTGAAAACAGCTGCAAATGAAGAGTGAAGAGCAGCATCTCTTGCTGCTGCTGTGCAGATCCACAGATCCACAGCAGAGAGTGTGTGACCGACAACAAATACAAACACTCACAAAGTAACTCAGAGTCTGTGGTGAACCTGAGAGGCTGCTTTATTTGCTCTGAAGCAAAACGTTCAACGACATTTTTAAGGAAACTCTTCCACCCACAGATCCAGGTGTCTGTGCCACAGGTCGTCAGACTGTGAAGGGAGGCATGCAGGCAGAGACGTAAGACAAAAGATACTGGGACAGGTGCATGCAGGTGTTCTCAAAACCACGAATAAGAGTAAACTACGGTGACAATGCTAAAACACAAATGTTTAACAGGTATAATTTCACCACCTTAGTTATCATGCTAACATTAGCGTATTAGCAGTGAATACAAAGTAGAGCTGAGGCTCATGGGGATGTCATTAGTCGTGATCCTGTGCTCCTTGTTTTTGAAATACTGTTGCATCAAGTTGTTCTTGTCTTATCTGACTGCTCACTGCACAGCTCTATGACGACAGCAACAGCAGATGATTGGTTGATACACTGCTTTGATCCAGTCTGAAATATCTCAACTATTATTGGATGGATTGTGATGAAATGTGGTTGAGACTAGGGTTGCAAAAGGTTGCTACATTTTCCAAGAGGAGGTTAAGTTCGGGAAGTTATCTGGCGAAAACGACACATAAAATGTGACCAAACACCTGCAGAGCTCACGACGATCCATCAGCCTCAATAAGCTAATGCTAGCATGCTAATCTACAGTGTTACTGTCACTTTGAGCTTGTTAGCATGCTGATGTTAGCATTTAGCTCAAAACACACAGACTGAGCTTTGATGGCTTTCATCTCTCGTTGATTGAGCGTTCAGCGTCAGAAAGCAAGAGGTGGCAGAGAGGAGGAGGTGGGGAGGATGGAGGGATTGAGGAGGAGTAACTGTTTAAACAGCCCTCTCCTCCCTCCGTCCATCCTCCAGCAGCGAGCAGCGTTCAGACCAGCTGTGTCAGTGAACGTTCTTCCACTGATGCTCATTAGGAGCTGGACCTGAGACGGAGACAACACCTGCTTCCTCCTCTTCCTCCTCCTCCTCTTTCTCCTCCTGTCCACAGCTGTTTCTCTCTTCACCTCTTTATAACCTCTCCTCCGTTTCCTCCTCCCTGCCTTCCTTCCTCTCCCTCCTCTCCCTCCTCTCCCTCTTTCTTTCCATCTCTTTCTGAGGCAGAAGATCGGCAATTAATTCCTCAAAGACGAGTTGAGTCTTCCAATTAGCAGCTGTTTGAGAGAACACACACACACACACACACAGTGTGCAGATGGGTGTGATGAATGTGTAATGGATGCTTTTTATCATCATTAGAAACATCACAAAAATGTAATTAGCATATCATTTATTCTGAATCCTCAGATTGCTGCTCAGAGGAGGAACTTGAAGAACTACCATTACATCCTGGCCAATCTGGTGAGTCCCACTGTTTACTGGAGGAGAGACATGAATACAGTGTGTGCGACTGCCCGCTCTAATGTGTGTGTGTGTGTGTGTGTGTGTGTGTGTGTGTGTGTGTGTGTCAGGGCTTCATGGACCTGAACATGACAGAGTTCCAGAAGCTCGGTCCAAACGTGACGGGCTTCCAGCTTGTGAACCGGTCCGATCCAGCTGTGGAGAAGATCAACCAGGACTGGCTGGACTTCGACAGCAAAGACCTCAAACTGGCCCGCAGGAGTCTCAGGGTACACACACACACACACACACACACACACACACACACATATACATATTGCCCCAAACGTTTCCAGCAAAATCGGTCATTTTAATCAAGAACACGCTGTGTGTCATTTGCTCACCATCGCCTGTCACTGGTGTCATATCCCCTTTGTGTCAGGGCTGTGGTTGTCAGACAGAAGTTGTCATTAAGTGATATTTTATCCAGTTTTAAGTCACATCATTACAATATACTTTTTAGATTTTGGTTGTTTTTAACTCTGTGTTTTAATTTGATGAAGGATTTTAGTCATCAGACATCTGGATCTTAAATTATCAGAGAAATGAGCAAACGTTAGCGGCAGCTCTGCTCCAGCCCCGACTGTGCCAAACAGCATCAGCGACACACTCTGTATGTTTCCATGACATCAGAGAAAATGGATTTATAGTCTCAACCCGACTAAAGGCCTTTGCACAGTGTCAGTTTTGTTTTCGTCCGAAATCAACTCACGTTGAAAAATAAATACGACCTCATGTTTTGTCCGTCACGTTTGCACTGAAACTTCCGTTCGTCTGTAAAATGTTTGGAGCAGGTTTGATTGTCTGTGTTTGCCTCCTCCGTCAGAGCCTTTAGAGACGTTTGACCAAGAATCAGGGAAGAAAATGTGGCGGCGGGACACAGCTGACACAAGACAGAGGAACGGGGGCAGAATCATTTCATAACTCAGACAGCGATGTTCAGCAGGTCAGATGGTAACATTCAGGGGATGATGATGATGATGATGATGATGATGATGATGATGATGATGATGATGAAGAGGAGGAGGATGTGGACTGCACACAAAGACGGAGACAGATTACAGCTCTGCCCCGTCATGCAGCTGCAATGCCAAATGAAAGACAGGGAGGAAGTGATGTCAGTCAGATAGGTGACTCCAGAGGAGGAGTCTTTACATTTGTCTCGTGTTGTGAATTTTCACAACGAATAGAACAATAGAATCAGTGTGCACGGTTTCTGTGACAGATTAAAAAAACACATCTGAAAAAATGGACTCGTGTGCAAAGGCCTTAAAACTGCTCTTTTAAAACCCCTGTGAACATGTCAGTGTGAGTGAAATGGTCCTGCAGTGAATGTGTCACAGTGGGACTAACACACCCAGATCATGTGAGTCCTGCATGTATACAGTCAGTCAGACCCAAACTGGCCGAGGCGCTCTGAGCATGCTCCACAGTTTCCGCCCCGGGCTTTGACCCGGAAGTCCAATAGCATTAAATGTGTAAGAGAAGAAGAAGCCGGTAACAACATGGAGAAATCTACATCCAGAGCCGTGACTTTTTGGACGGACCAAATGTACAGAGCTGTAAAGTTGTCCACCATGGTAGCAGTTAGCTGCTAGCTAACCGTAGCTAACTTGTTTGTCCATTGTTTGGTCTGTGACGTAATAGGTCAACAGGAAAAAGGTCCAATACTAACAAG